AATAATTTATTTTTTGTCAGTTTCATCTTATTAATGCATAATTTTCTTAAAGAAATGGTTTTTGTTAAGTTGTTTATTTAAAAAAACTAAACATTTTTAGTTAATTTAAAAGTATTACAATTATCAAAAAATAAATTTTGTAGCAGTACTAAAATATTTCCAATAATTTAGCGGTTTTTTCCTGGTTAAAGAAATAATTTTGATTTGTTTTCAATTACAATTACAAAACTAATAGAAAACTTAGGGCCGATTTACAGAACGTGTTAATCCCAATTAAATTTTAATTTGAAGTACTTTAAATAAAAAACTTGCAGTTAAGAATAGTATTTGATACCTACATATTTTGTAACTATAAATAGATATTAATAATTAACAAAAATGTGTATTTTAGGTATATACAAAGTGTCCCAAGTTTTAGGACAGGTACAAAAATAAATACCTATTTCTAATTGATTAAAAAAAGAATTTTGATTTTTTATTTCGTACTCAATGTTAAAGAGTGCTAAAAAAAAGAATTTTGATTTTTTATTTCGTACTCAATGTTAAAGAGTGCTTTTATCAACTAATTTTGGTAGATAAAATAGTCTTTTATCGTCTAGTAAAATAAAGTAATTTTTATCTACTTTGACCAGTATATTCATCAGCCAGACACAAGAAATTTTGGTATGGCAGTGAGACCTTAAAAATTAAATTTAGAGACAAAAATTAATTTGCAATTAACTGGAATATTTTCTGCATGATAAAATTCTTTGATTTTTTTCTGTGGTATTTGTAAAAATAGAATAATGTTAATGATAAAGTTGAATAATTAACATTTCAATATTGAAACTCTGAAACTTGGAATAATTTATGAGGGGGTTTGCGGTGATCAGGCCAGAATTTATTGACAAAAGAAAAAGGTCCGCAATGACATTTATGACGAAACCGGGCTCTATTGTGAAGCCTCCGCTCTATTGTCAATGCATTAGGAGCACATCATCTTAAACTTGGCCATAAAATACCAGAATTCCTAATTTTTAATATTAAAATGTTATTTACTCAAAATTTTAACTTTTACATTATTCAATTTTTACAGTTACCATTACTAAAAATCAAAATCAAGAATTTTATCATGTAGAAAAGATTCTAATTAATTATTTTTTTTCCAAATTTGGTTTTGGGATCTCACTGACATACGCTAAAAAATTTAAACAATATTAAAGCATCAATGTCAATCAATGTCCACGTTGAGACTATCAAATTTAGTTATTCTGGCAATTGAACATGACATACATTTTGTGTAAAAGATTTTGCATTGAAAAAAACACAAAGAGTACATTTTTAATCTAACTTTTTAATTTAAACTAATAGGGACAGAAATAATTAATAATTAATTAATCAATAATCAATAAAAGTGACCACTTTTGGCGGTAATCAACGATTCTCTTAATTTATCAAATGCAAAATAATGAAAAATATATATATATATATATGTAATTTACTAGTCAAGTTAAGGTTTAGATTTTTTAAATTTGATCTGATTTAGGAGTAAAAGAAATAAAATGATGGGTGGCGCTAGTTGGCTGGTTGGCTCTTGTGTGACCCTTAGGTATAACTTGTTATTTTTTTATTAAATTATAATCTCTCTAGTTATACTTTTTTGCAATACCCGTACCGATTACTAAGTGATGAGCACTATGTATAATTTAAGATCCTATTGTACACTCAATTGGCAAATAAATACCGTGCGATCAAAAAAAATAAATAAATTAGAGTAGGCGTCTATTAAATTCTACAGTTGACAACACAATGGCTGGGAATCTGGGCTGGAAATATTCCACACAAACTGAAAGTGAAAACGACCATTCACCGTTTTCGTCTTGTACAGCATTTTTGTAATAACTTGCAACAATAAAAAATTTCTGCTCTAAAGTGAACATTATTTCACTTAATTAAAATGAATAAACCGCAAACTTGTCAAAGTTTCCGCTGACATTTGATGTCAAAAATCAGGATTGCCATCTGAAGGAAGGAAATTTCTGGTCGGCCCCGGGCGGCCAAAACCCACGGTACGCCACTGATGGAAACAAGCGGTTTTTTTCTAAATCATTGGTTTTCAGAAAATATTAATTAATCTAAATTGAAGTATTATAAAAAAAAGTGATTGTATTTTGAAAACGAAATTTGGTCTTGTTTTTGAGTTATGGAATTTTTTTGTCAAAATTATAATTTATGTAAA